GCCCATGTCAGCACAAGATGGCTGCTACAAGATGGCCGGCAAGGAAGGGCAGTTGGAGGCAAACAGGCCAGCAGGGAAGGGCAGTTGGGGGCTACCAGGCCTGCAGGGGAGGGCAGTTGGGATGACCAGACTGGCAGGGGAGTGGTTAGGGAGTGGTCAGGCTGACAGGCAGAAGCGGTTAATGGCAATCAGGCAGGCAGGCAGGCGAGCAGTTGAGATCCAGCAGTCCTGGATTGTGAGATGGATGTCTGACTGGCAGTTGGACATCCCCCAAGAAGTCTCAGATTGGAGAGAGTGCAGGGCCTCTAGTATTATAATAAAACTTTGACACATGGTTATAACTAAATGATCTGAAATTTTTATTTTAGAAAATAATGCTCCTGGACATATTCCATGCTAAAACAAGAGAAATTTTTTGAAACCTTAATAGTAAGAGGGAAGTAACCACCAACTAATATTTGGTATCTGAATTATTAAAATAAAGTTTATTGTTAATAAATGTTAGTAATAATTGCTAAACTCTGGACTATAAAGGCAAAAATTATGAAGAATTTTCTGTTTTATTATAGTATATTAAGTATCTACTTGAGTCTTATAAGAGCATGCTTTTAGATTTTAAGAGCTTTAAGGACCCAAGTACATCATCTTTTTTTTTTTTAAGGTAAAGAAACAGGCCACGAATGGGTTAATGATTGCTTGGGATTGCACAGAATTGAATAAAGATTTGACCCTGGGTCCTCAGAGGCCTTTTCACCATGTATATACAAACTGTGCCTGCATGCTTATAGTAATTTCCTGTTTCATTTCTTAGTAAAAGTTATTTGCATTTTAAATACCATTTTAGTAACTCAAATGATTTTTTTCTTTCTTTCAGTTTCCCTTTCAAGACAATCTCTTTCAATCCATGTATTACCCTCTTCAGTTGAAGTTTTTGGAAACTGTACACACTTTATGTGGACGAATCCCACAAGTGTTTCTGAAGCAAATTGAGAAAACAATGAAAAGGGCTTATGAGAAGCATGTCATCATGCATGTTGGCCCCAACCAGATGCGCTGAGTGTTTCATCTTGTTGCAGTTAATCAGGTATCTCACCGATGAGGAAGAGTCGTCTCTAAGCTGCCTGGGCCATTTCTGTGTGAATATCTAATGGTGCTCCCTGACAATTGACTTTTAAAAGCTTTGTAAAATGTTGCTAAATTAGTCGCCCTATAAAGAAAGTAAGCTTTTTTTTGTAAAATGCTATTTATCTCTCTTGTTATTTTTTAAAAATATGTTATTACTCATTTAACATTGTTTAGGTTGAGCTAGCTGTGAAAAAGGAACTTTTGTTAGACTTTCAATTCCTGTAAGTGTCTGAAACAGTATCAGTGGCATCTGAGGTGATATAATTTGGAGAGAGGGAAAGACTGGAACATCAATAATGAGAGTCATTGATTGGCTGCTACCTGCACATCCTCTACTGGGGATGGAGCCATAACCCGGGCATGTGCCCTAACTGGGAATCAAACCAGTGACCTCTTGGTTCGTGGGTCGACGCTCAACCAGTGAGCCTCCCCAGCTGGGCTGAGGTGATATATTTATTCTGGATTCCTGCAACTGTTTCTATGCAATTGGCTCTTCCACAACTTTTTAATTGAAGTAATACATGCTTGTTGTAAAACAAATTTTAAAAACTTGTAGATAATATAGTTCAGTGAACCAAAATCAAGATTGGATTAGCCATAATCCTACCAGCCAGTGAAAAAGATTGCTATTTTAATGTATTCCTTCCAACTTTTTCACCACAATTTCTATCTTTACTTGCCGGTTATCTTTCCCATTGTATCACATATCTAAAACAGGTAGTCTGAGTAAAAGCTGGCCTGTATATTGAGCATTTTATGTAAGAAACTAAAAAGTTGACAAAATGATTATGTTTACAGAGCTATATTTAAAATACATCTGGGAAAAGCATTTAGATTTTAGCTATCTGGGTAGTGTTAAAGAATGAACCATATCTAGGGTTGCTTTTCTAAGAAAACTTACTTAAATTGTGGAAGACTGAATCATAAGAAGTGTCTATGCAACCACAACTTTTGAGAGCAAATTGACTAATTGTGTTAAACCTGAGGAGTTTGTTTAGCAAAGAGATAGAATTTTGTGTTTTCCCACAGACAAGAACATTTGATCTCTTACATCATTAGTAGGTGTGGCCTCCTCTTTTCTTTAAACTTTTGGGCAACTTTGAATTTAATCTGCACAACATAAATAATGCAGCTGATTCATTGGTAAGGAAATTTAACTTTCTACCAGCCTTAGAAAGGTCTCTAGTATTTTTCCCCTCACTAGGGTTACCCAGCTTTTAGTTAAGGAACCAGATAGATCTTACTGCTTAGCTATAGTATGGGAAGTTCTATAGTCTATTCCCCAACAAGAACTGACTTAATCTCTAGTTACTCATATAGCTGGTTTCAGCATACAGGTGTTGTGCATAATGCTTTATTTATCTCAGAAAACTTGCATAAATGATCTCCTTGATGTATGCAACAGCCCTGTGAACATAGTAGGTACCTATATTATCTCTACTGGGCAAATAAGTAAATTGTAACATCCTGTTTTACAAGAAATACTTCGAAACAAAAATATTAACTGCTTTTCATTATATATAAACAACAATCTGAAAGTATAAAATTAAAAATATTATTTTGTTAATATAACATGGTATCTTATATGTGGGGATCCAGTAGAACATCATAGGTTTTATAATTAGCAGAAAAAGTCTTATCCTTAAAAAATATATATGAAAATCTCTGCACTGCAAAGAAATATATAACTATTGATCAATATTGGTATGGGGCAACATTATGGTAGTAACAAATTTAAATCCAAATTGTTAGAGTAATAGCTCATATTTTCTCTTTGTCCTATTGGAGGGCTCATGGTTTATTATTTCTGTTAAGGAAATACCATTATGATGCGAAACTTGTCTCTTTGTTGTTGTATTTTGTTTTCTCATTTTGCCACTAAAGGTGGTATCATTCATTATAGCTAAAGGATATGGGACAATTTGGGGTTTGTCTTTGGATGGGGAAAATGCATCCTATACATCCACAAATAGGGTTTTAGTGGAAGAGCCAGGATGTGAACTTGGTTTCCTGACTTCCATTCTCATTTTCTTTGTGTTTGTTCAGCATGGCCAGTAAACCCACAATGTCACTCAGATTTGTTGGTGGAGCACAGATCTAAAGAAGTCCCTTTCTTCCTTTGGCAAGTCCCACAAAATAATCTGCTAAAAAGACTCTGAATATAGCAATGCCTTTTCTTTTATGAGAACCAAGTTTACCCAGAACTCTCAGCTAGTGGTTCTGGCCTTAACATTCAGAATAGAATTTCCAGCAAAGGTCAGTCATAGAACTCCAAGAACATTCTAGAATGATGCATCATTAAAATGTAAAACCTTAGAATCTGGTTTGGTGTCGTAAATGTTTCCCTCTACGTCCCGCGTGGTTCAGGGTTCAGGATCTGGAAGAGGAGCCGCACACAAATGAAAGAGAAAAGACAAGAGATAATTTGGGAATATTGGGGGGCCAGGCGGGTAAGTCCAACTCAAGAGGAAGGACTTCCCCTGGTGCTCAGGCCCCACTGACCTGGTAAACAAGGCAGAGGTAAACAAGGCAGTGGTTACCATAGTTACACAGTTCTTGTGAGTTTCACCTGTTTTGACCATAGTTACACTCCCTGCACTTCCCTCAGCCCATTAGCTTCCCAGGTAAGATCTGGAGAGTGTTATAAGGTCAAGCCTAATTATGCTAAGAGGACTGAGCCCTCTAAGCTGGGACTTGTTTGTGACTTTGCCAGCAGGTCAGTCCGAGGCTCAACGCTATATCGGTTCCCCACAGTTTGGTTTTCTGCCTTGGAATCCTTTTGCTAAATGCTGAAATTTTAGATAGTTTGTAGAGAATTTAGAGAAAATTTGCTCTTCCAATCCCTGCTACCTGAAGTTCTTGTTTTCTATAGTTGTGATGTTATCATGAGGCAGTATGTTTTCTGCCTTTGATAATTCCCAGAAAACTACTACGTTGGTGCCTTGAAAATTTGATAATTACAAATTTTAATTCACTGAACTCCTAAACATTCAGTCTGTAGTCTGCCAAAGGGAATGTTGCCTAGCGTGCCACATTGAACGTCTATATGCAAAGGCATGAGACTGGTCTTCTCCTCTCCTCTGCTCATTTCCTTTGAATATATTTTATTGATTTTTACAGAGAGGAAGGGAGAAGGATAGAGAGTTAGAAACATCAATGAGAGAGAAACATCCATCAGCTACCTCCTGCTACCTCCCACTGGGGATGGGCCTGCAACCAAGGTGCATGCCCTTGACTGGGATCGAACCTGGGACCTTTCAGTCCGCAGGCTGATGCTCTATCAACTGAACCAAACCGGTTAGGGCTGCTCATTTCCTTTAAAGTCCTGTTTAGTGTCCCTGACTGGTTTGGCTCAGTGGATAGAGCATCGGCCTGTGGACTCAAGGGTCCCGGGTTTGATTCCAGTCAAAGGTGTGTACCTTGGTTGCAGGCGCATCCCCAGTGGGGGCTATGCAGGAGGCAGCTGATTGATGTTTCTCATCTATGTTTCTAACTTTCTGTCCCTCTCCCTTCCTCTCTGTAAAAAAAATCAATAAAATATATATATTTTTTAAAAAAGATAAAGTCCTGTTTAGTGCACATGACTATGGAGTTAAACTTGAGAATGAAAGAACAATTTCTGAGAGCAAAATGTGACAGTATTTTTGTATGCATTGAGATTGAGATGGTCATTAGCTGAGTAACTATAAATGCTGATAATGTTTTTCTTGCTGATTTTTTTCCAATATAAATCTCAGAAATTCTGACTTACTTTGAAAATTCCAATATTTAAAAACTTAACTGGCTAGAAAATCTACTTAAGTTTTCCTTCAACTTCCAAAATGACAGTTTAGCATGTAGGGTATAATGCTCCAAGCTTTAGTATGTATCTGAGATTTCTATCATATTTTCAATGCTTCCATTGCAAATTGTTCTGACTTTTACTGAATTTATTATTTTTCTTATCTTTATTGTTGAAAGTATTATATATGTCCCTCTTACCCACCATTGACCTCTGAATTTATGATTGAAATGGGCATTTAGACAAACTCATAGCAGTTTGAGAATATTTATCTTATTGCAGTTATGATTTCATAAAACAAGCCATAAATACCTTATTCATAGCTACAGAATTTAAGTAAATATATAAATATTGCCTGAGACTTATACAAAAAAAAGGTAAATTGGACGTATTAGATAAACCAAAATGAACATGATTTCATGGCTGAATTCAGCAATATATGAATTCAGAAAAATGGTTAATTGCATAGGAGTGCAAATCATTATATTCACACTTAATAGAATGGTAGGGAATCTTTTTTGTTTGTCTACTTTTTCATCTTCCTCTTTTTCATTTTGCTTTTCTTGGCATTAGTGGCAGAATGACAGACTTTGAGGATCCCTGTAAAGGCAGGACTAAGTTTAATCATTAGATCAAATCTTTATGATAACTTTCTAAAAATTAAAAAGCACAAAATACAGACATAGAGACACACACATGCATACACCACCATCATGCTTTTAAAGGAGCTAGCATTTGTTGTGGTCTGTGAGTTGAATTATAGTGAAACCTATGTCATGGCATTTCACATTGCAGTGCTGGAATTTAAAGCTGATGAGATTACTCTGACAAATATAGATATTTGTCCTGGATCATTTTCTCCAGCCTTCAAGATCAAGCACTTGTGTTTGTATCACAAGATGCATGAACACGTAAGGATCAGATGCAGTTGTTGCTTCCTCAGTTTTACATGTTTATGTTGTTACTGAAAAGTGCACCCATTGTTTGCAGCTCTCAAGGAGATCCTGAATGCATTTTTTTTATGTTGGAAAACTTTTTTAGTAATTTTGTTTGGGAAAATACCATTATACTCTAAAGAAAAGGAATTATAGCAAATTAAAAGGAACATAAGTATTATGATTTAATTATTGTCTTGTCTTTTTAAATATCGTCTACAGTTTTACTTTTTTAATTAAAAACTTTTTAAAAATGTGTTTGTGTTAATTTGGAAGTGTGTTTCTTTTCTTATATTAAGATTTCAAGTATGAAAATTTGTAATATTAAATAATACTTAAGTTTTTCCAGCTAGTGAAAATAAAATTGGTTTAGCGGTAGCTTAGATACTTGTAAAAATCATTAAAAGTGCTTTACTAATTGCTATAGAAAATTTTCATATATTAATAATCATCCTAAATGTAAATGGACTGAACTCACCAATTAAAAGGTACAGAGTAGCGGGTTGGATGAAAAAACAAAACCCAA